CTGTTTGCACTGTTATCTATATTTTAAAATCGTTTTTTGAGTATGTTTCAACAGTCTATAGCCAAGACTTTTTGGATAATAAAAAGCAAAAAAAAAAAAAATCACTCCCAAGTGCCCACGAACCTGCATTTACACATATAACTACCAACCTTAAGCTATTTAACTTTTTACAAAACAATAATACATTTAAATTTGAAACTGTAACAGCCATTTTAATTATGAGCATCAGCAAACTTCTTGCTGGGTGAATTGTTATGCAAATTAGCAATTATCTCGGTTTCTTTTAGTGCACATTCCAGAACTTTAAAAAAAAATAGCTCCTGAACGCTTTGACCTTTTGTTTTGAAATTTTCACAAATGATTGACAATGTGTTTATCCTCAAAACGCCATCGGGGTATTGTTTTTAGTTGAATAGCGTTACAGCAATCGTACAGACAACTAGCCTGGGTGTTAATTTATGCATAAACTTGAAGTAGTGAAATAAGGGCTGCTGTCCTACAAAATTGACAACTGGTAGACAGTTTTCAAGACGGCACTTTCTTCATAGTAAACAGATGTACTCATAAACCAATTTTGTCAGGAAACAGAAGCATGGTTTAGAAGCTAATTTTGTTTAATCACTTTTGACCAAAAAAGCACATTTCTGTGCATATTTCAAACTACAGTGTCCATAAAAATAAAATAGTAACAACACTTTAAAATTCATACAATAAGCTTTCCGAAAATATATAGTTTTGTGGACAAGGGGGTCAGGTCATCTTGGTTTCCTAATTAACTAATTAAAAAACCTGTCAGGTAAATTGCATCTCTACCTTAAAGGGTTACACTCTATTTGTGTTATAAAGTCATGAGTATCACATGATATTTCGTAAAAATGTGATTTATTCGTTTATTAAAAATTCAATATTTTGAGTTCTTTGACAGAGAAAGGTTTTTTCACAATGTACTTGAAACATTTAGGAGTGTACGTATTTTATTGGTACACAATTTATTTATTCGGTTTACCAACGCGAATAAATTCCCAAATTACAGATTCCGCAACAAACAAACAAACAACTACTAATAAAACATAAAATAAAACAAAAAATAATTAAAGACTATCTATAAAAATAATTCAGCAATGAAGATTTAAATTTACTACAACTACTAAATATATCTATATTAATTCTATTTTTATGTGAGTAAATATTAGTGCATACAAAGTTTCCTAGAAAGGTGTAAGATGTTGTTTCAAACATATTTTTTTCTCAACAGATTATTTCCTTCTTATGTTTCATCATTGGTAGAGTATTTGTAGGCTGTGCCCATGGTAACATGATTGCTTTATTGTGAGTATGTGTAGATTTCTTGTTTTATACAGTAGTATGTTTTATTGCTCGTTGATTTGGTGTAGTATAATTTTGAATTATTGTTTGTTCGTTTTTATCAGATTTCCACCGGAGTATTATGGTCGGTTATTTGGTCTCGGTTATCTCATTGCTGGAATAGGTTCATTGTTAAATTATCCGTTGTTCAATTTAACTCAGGTGCTACCAGACAGAAACCCAATTTACGTGAGTATAGAAATCTCTCTGTTTAGTAACTTTTATTTCTTACTGAAAAAAGGCCATTATAACACCATTATAACAAGTCATGTTGCTCTCTGTCGACGAAACGATTCTATTAAGTCAAAATACGCCATGTGTATGTAAGCAGTATCATTGAAATAGAAAATTGTGTTTATTGTATATAGTTGTGCGTCATTTAGAGTATAGCAATTTTTTGACGGGCAACCACATATCGAAACGATACCAATGAAGTAACGAATGAATGCGACTAGAAATGATGTATTGGCGTTTTATCTTGATGTGTTCACAGACTATATATATTCATATGTAAATATGCCACGATTACAACATACTACTTCTGCCCCTGACACGTGATCCACAATATCTCTTTATCCATCAAATGTAAATACTCCTTCACATAATGAATGATAAATGAGAAACAAATTTACTGGTTTTGCTGACCATTTTGTTCAAATATAAACAACTGGTAATAAGAAAAAAAAAACATATCTTGGGTAAAGTGTGTTAAATGATGTAAATTAACATGGAATTTTTGACTTCATCTGACACAACAACACAAAATCATTTATATCAAACATTTATTCTGATTTGTAGGTGGACTGTATATTATTAGTTGTGGTGTTAATATCGCATGGATATCCTATCCTGCTATGGAGGAAAATGAACATAAAAAATAAAGAAGAATTCAATTTCAAGATCTTAGAAGAGACGTGATCAATTTCAAGACTAATTACTTTTGACAATAATGAATAATGTAAATAATTCCGTGAGTGGCTGTATCGAGCTGGTAATCATTATATATTTAAAAAAATCATTGAAGGTTTATGTGAGTAACTTCAGGTATTAAGTTATACAAATATATACAAATGTCTGTATTAAAAGAGTGGGTGATCCACCGAAAACGGCTGTATAACATATACATACTCCCAAATCTGCTCAAAGTGTCAAAACACATGTATATTAGATCGAAGATTTCATAAATTTAAAATTCAGATTGAATAACGAAATGGGATATGCGCCGTGACTACAGGCGCTTTCTGTACAAGTTTGGGACTGTCAAATGAGGAAGCTTCTTTTTCATTTATAAGTTTTTATTGGTAATCATTCTTATAATACATACAGTAAGCAGAATACAGACTAATATACAAGTGTGTTCAGACATAACAATTTGGTGGATTTTAATCCACTTATTACAGTGCGTTTCAATTTTGTCTTTGTTCACATAAATGTTGTATTCAAGATGATAGTTATACTTGACTTGGTTCAGAAAAGTTGGAAAGTGGGGTTTTAGGTTTCTCATTTTCGGATTAGATAAATGTGTCTTTTAGCCAGAAGGTGGTTGTGCAACCTAGACAAAGTCACTTCCCCAAATAAAATTTCACTACAGGTTGGCACTTCCCTCGTTACTAATGCATCTCTGAAACACTGGAGGAACTTTAACCAGAATAATTTTTTTGCATCACATGAAAAGAAAAGATGTTCAAGTGTCTCACTCTCACTTCCGCAGAATGTACATAATTCAGATATTTGTACCCCCCTTCTCTTTAGGTCATAATTAGTATATAAAATATGGTGGAGTAATCTGAACCGAAATTCTCTGGTCTTAACATCTATTGCCACTCTAAATGACAAGTTATATGTGGCTTTCCAATCTCTAGTTGGTTCAAACTTTCTTTCATAGTAGCCCTCACTGATAGGAACAGAATCATTTTGACTTTGTAGAAATTTCTTAATTTTCAGTTTTGTAATTTTGGAAATTTTAATATATTCGTAATCAAAATAATACTGGTCTGCATTTAATTCTTCAAAACTATTTTCACATTCTAAAGTCTTCCACTCGGGTGCTAGACTCCATTAATAATTAATTAATGAATAATTCCATATAGCTTCAGTATATCAATTTGACTCAATCCCCTATCCTGAAGGCTTTGTCACTGCATTAGATGGGTATAACGGTACAAGTTATGAACATATCTAAATCCCTTAACACTTAACTCCTTATAATAAATACACAGATGTGCCTCCAATTAGTATGTGCCTATTATTCAAAATAATTTGTTCAGGGACATAATTATGTTCAACAGTTTTATCATTAATTGTATTACATGACGACCAAGCTTCTAATGCTTCCATGTAAAACTGTAGCAAAGACAGGTTAAGTAGTTTTGTCTCAAAATTACACTTGAATAGAAATGTACCACCCACTTGTCTAAGAAGTTTGTTTAGAAATCTTTTCCAAAGATGTTGGATGTTCTCATCCAAAAATCTCTTTAAGAAATCAATTCTAAACATCTTGTGCATAACTCTTACATCAGAAGCATTCAGTCCTTCTTTCCTAATATCTGTCACCATGACCCGCTTTGCCACCCTGTCCGGACCATTTCATAGAAACTTAAAGGCAGCCCTTTCAACTTTGTCAAGAATATCTGAAGGCACATATGTCATTCTCATAATATAACTCATTTGCAATATGGCAAGAGTCTTAAGAATTTGAATTTTGCCAATTAGAGTGAGAGACCGATTTCTCCAATTGCCTTTTTCATTTGTTTCAGAGGTGATGCAAAGTTCATCTTGACATTGTTCTTCACATTGTACGAGATATATACTTCGAGAACTTTGATTTGGATTTTCTGGCCATTTAATTTTAAAAGACTTTTTTCTTCTCAGCTTCCAAAGACCTAGTCACATGCCTTCAGTTTTCTCCATATTGATACAAAGTCCAGCGAAAGTCCATGAAAGTTATCCAGCATTTCAAAAAATACAGTACATGATACTTTATTGCTTAAAAAACATGTCAAGTCGTCTGCAAATGCAGAATACTTGACTTCCAGTGAGTGCAGAGAAATGCCTGTTATATTGGCGTCGGTTCTGAGATTGATTAGTAAAATTACAAAAGCTATAATAAAGAGATAGGGCGACAAGGGATCGCCCTGCCTCGCTCCTCTCTTCAATAAAAAGTAACTCGTAGTGAAACCATTAATCATTACACTCGCTTGTGTGCCAGAGTACAGTGGAGGTCGTTAATAATATGAGGTAATACTTTTTCCAATCTCTTTGAGCGACACTTAGACCCAATCTTTGTATCAACATTTATAAGCGATATGGGCCGCCAATTTTTAATAAATTGTGAATCTCTGCCTTTCTTTTCAATCAATGAAATGACACTTTGTTTTGAGAGTTTGATAATTCACCTGTTTTATAACCAAAATTTAAGGATGCAGTGAGCAATTTCCCAACCAAAATTTAAGGTAAAACTCAACTGAGATTCCGTCATTACCGGGTGTTTTGTTCCGCGCCATACAATATACTTTATTGAATGCTTTGTTTTGAGTTATTTCCTTATCACAATTATTCCTCATAATGTCTGTTAAGGGTGTAATACTTGGATTATACAGGAGAGGGTGTGCTTTAATATTTCTATTAGGGTCAGCTTTTGTACAATACAAGTCAGAATAAAATGCTTTCAATTATTTTAAAATCTCATTTGGGTTGGTAACTGTTCCTTTTGAAGATCTAACTTTAGTAATATTCGATTTTTTTCCTCTCCATTTCTCCAGTCCTAAAAAGTATTTATTATTCTTCTCAACCATTCCATGCCATGCAACCCTTGATCGAATAATGGCTCCCTCTGTTATGTATTCGTGTTTAATATCAAGTTTACTTTTGACCTTTTCCAATTCTTCATAATTCCCTTTAGTTGGTTCTATATTTAGCTTGATATCTAGCTCTGACATTTGGTTCTTGAATATATTCTCGTTTTTGCTTGGCTTTTTTCTTACTAAAGACCATGGATAATTTTTTTATTTCATATATAATTAAATCCCACTATATTTTCTATATTCTGAATCCACATTGGAATATTTTCTGTAAGCTGAGCGATGTATTTAACATATTTTACTAAACTACTGTTTAGTTTCTAGTAGGACGGCCCGTATGGTGTATGATCATACTCGAGTACTAAAGGCAATCAATGATATTATTTCAGTTGTTTTAATGTCTTACTGAAGTGTATCACTCACCAAGAAATACTCAATCCTAATTTGAATAATATTTGGTTTTCTCCTTCTCCACGTATAACCCTTTCTAGAGGATTGTTAATTTTCCATATATGAATTAGTTTTTGTCTCTCCATCAATTCCCTCATTGATTGCTCTGCTTGTTTACTTGCTGCACTATGAGAGCCAAATCTGTCCTGTGCTTTCAAGGTAAAGTTAAAGTCACCCCAAAAATTATTTCTACATCTGGGGCAGCATCACATATGGTGATTAATTCAGAAATTTCGTCAATAAATTGGCCTTGCATTTTAGTATCATTTGGGCCGTATATATTTATCAATAAAATATGTTTTTCATCAAATCATCTAGTATAATGGACCGTCCCACATCGCTTACAGAATTTATCACATACCTAAGATATCTTAGAATTATCATTACTCCTCTACTGTTAGATTTGCCATGAGAGTAGACACAGTGACCACCTTGTACTTGATTAGACCAATATTTTTCATCTGCCTGAATACTATGAGTCTCCTGTAAAAACACTATGTTGGGCTTTTTAGATTTCATCCACCCCAAGAGCTTTCTCCTTTGTTTTGTATTCTCTGAACCCACGAACATTAATTGAAAGTATTGTTTAACCTGAATACCTCTTATACACATGTACAACATTGTTTCATACAGCACTTTTGTTTTCAAATAAATGTTATCTATTTTGTTATAAAGAATGAGGATTGAAAAAATTAAAAGGACAAACGCAAGATAAAAAAAAAGCAGTGAAAAACTAAGCCAGCTTCAACTGGCACGCAGTACTACATATCACTGCTGGTTGAAAAGCTAAGAGAGGCACAAAACACCAGTTGGGATGTAGAGTGTGCAGTGCTAACCCTCAGCTAAGAGAGGCACAAAACACCAGTTGGGATGTAGAGTGTGCAGTGCTAACCCTCAGCTCCGCCAATATACATAAACATACCTTAACAATAATTCTTTCAGGGGCTTCACTACTCATTAACAATCAATTAATCCCTTGGTACCAACACTCCCTCTTATCATTATTAAACATTCTTAGAAAAAGTTGTTTTACAATTTTATCACCATTAATCCCAGCCAATAAACAAATGTTTCCACCATAATCATTGAACTATGAATATTAACTTCTTCTGAGGCATTATTACTTACAAAATCAGTCACATGGTCAGTCTCAAGTTAAAAGTCTCACATCGCCCTCAGTCCGTAGAATTCTCTAAACGACCGTTATTTCACAAATCTCTTGTTGTTATCGCCTGTAGATTCAATCATCAGAGTAATTGGTACCTTCCACGCAACAAAAGATCTTTTACTGGGATTATTCTCTTGAAACTTCTTCTTGTATTCAATAAGCTTTTTCCTGTCTGCCTGCACCGGAAGGCTAACATCGTCCGTAATAAATACATCTTTACCTTGATATGTGTGGCACCTCAGTCACTTCAGTGCAGACATCAGGATAGGTCGAGCATCCTGTGAACGATTAAATGTGGTGTTAATTAACCTTCACTTCAGAGGTACCAAGTTCGGGGAATTCTCCACCCTTCTATCGAACAAAGACACACAGATAATCGAATCGTGTCTCATTTGATCTCAGCCACATTGTATTTCCCCCACGGCTGCCTCAAGACTCTCTCAAGACTGCGCCTTGTCGAGAGCTTGCCACAACTAACTGAGATCAGCTTTATTCACATTCCGACTGTTAACCAATTACAGAGAAGTGAAAAAACTCTAAGGCGTGGCCTTCACACATATAGCCAATCACACAAAGTACTCACCTCGCCATAAAGTC